CTGATCTTTACATATGTATGTATATCAGTCAGTCAACTACAACATAGGACCAAGCACATATATGCATCGGTCCAAGTTGCCAATACCTCGTTAGCACAACAAGATGAACACCGAATTCATAGAAGTAGTTAATTTAGTGGTGTTAATGTATGAAAGAAAGATTGTATATAAGGATATAGTATAGGAAGGAAGACAGATATGAAGCAATTTTAATATCAAGGTTGTTTAAGGGAAGATAAAGAGTGTATACACCTGCGTCATTGTAATCGATTCTGAGCCATGTCACACAGAGTCTGCAACCATTGGTAACGATAGTCACGTGGACCCCAACCAGATAGTCTGCATCTACCAACATGACTCAGATTAGAAGTTATTGACTTCACACACTGATGCCACGTTTTGGTTTTGTCGCCCCTAACTCTCTTCCAACCATCCCCAATACTAGTGAGCATTGCGCGTCATGGTAATCGGTGTTCAGGCATACGTAACATGTGGCCTGATCTTTTCAGTCGATGAAGATTCGTGACCTCATCAACTGATTTACCATCATTCCCTAATACTCTGTGTCTAACCTCACTATCACTTACCCGGTGATCCTAGCAGATGCGAGCAATATTTCTAAGGCATCTGTGGTCGATTACGAGTAAATTATATTATCTTCTACTCTTAATGCCCACGTTTCTCAGCGTAAATTAGAACAGAGCGAACTGCTGCTCAGTATACTCGTCCTTTAACTGATAGACACATATCTCACGTTCGCCACAGGTGACGTAAGTTAGCAAAAGCCAAACAAGCTTTTTCAATTTGTGCTGACTAGTTATTATATTGTAATATCATCGGGAGCACATTTTCTTTACATTTTTCATTCCAAAACATGATCTCATTTAAATTTCATAAGTTTTGTTAGATTGTATCATGTTGTTTTTTTTTTTAAAAATAACAACAAAGTTTTTCTGATTTGATTCAGGTGTCACTTTTTTTCTCATTAAAAGTTTTATTCCTTTCCTTCTGTAGTTTGTAATTGGTAAATCTGCTACCTGAATGTTTGATAATGACTTGCTTACTGCTTTTTAGATTCCTTGAATTCTTTTAAACATAAGGATGAAAGGTATTAATTTCAAACATTTCTCTGTTTAGTCATTGCCAACATAGTGTTTGAGCTTGTCTGACATCAAGACCTAGTCGAGGTATATTGGTTGAAGTATTTGTTTCTTTATGCTCTAACATGTCAATAAAGTATGTCGAACTATTAAGATTAAATGTAACAACCTGAGGTCTGAGGATGAAATCGTGCTATTGATTGTACTGGGGTTGTGAAGACAGTAATGTGTTTCGTGTAAATAACTGTCGTTTTAAACGGTTCTTCCCCTCCTTTATAACTGACAACACTGGTTAGGAAAAAGGGATAATGTTACCACATCTACTACTCTATTATTTGTCTTGATAATGTTATCACGCTATGCGAGAATGATGTGGAATGACTTTAACGAGTAGAAATATTTTCCCGGTTCCACTTTGCTTGTAACTGGTTGGTTCACTCTTTCAATGTTTAATTGAATAAGTAATTTGATCACTACCATATCTCTTATGGACAGTATATATCTATGATAAGATTACTTGAATTAATTTTAAATAATGTGACTTGTTCTAAATTTATTTTTGTCTTCTCCAACTTATTAGTCTTTGAATAATAGAGAGATTTTGTTGACACTTTAACTACTTTAGCTACTTCCTTTTAATCCTCTTTGTTAGTTCATTGGTTGATTGTGTATCTAAATATGTGTATGTATGTGTGTGTTCAATATATATATATATATATATCGTTTCTACCCGCCGATCACTCATTACATAATTTTAGATATAAGTACAAATGATACTTCATTTGTTTAAAGTATGAAGTGGTGAGTGTTAAAGAAACCATTTTTTCTAGAATTCTGAATGACATGAATTAGAAATGAATAGAAACTACTTAACAATGGTTTAATTCATCTCAATTGGGTGTTATGGAAGAAACCCTCATCTCTCTCTCTCTCTCGCTATATATATATATATACCTTCTGTTTTCAGTTCACATTATTGGTAGTTGTGATTAATAATGTCGTATGAATAATGTACTCTTAGAACGGGACCTTTTTGTATCTGAACAAAGGGTTTACTATCACTAGTTCTTACACTACCAGTTTAGCAAACTACTACTAAAAAACTTGTGCATTTAAAAGATTGATACCTATGTTCTTCCATGCTTGTGAATTAAGGCTATATTGAGGTAATACGCACAGTATGCACATATACCAGTTGCAGTCCTAACACATCGATGGCAAGATTCAGACAAACAATACTAAATGAATTTAAACTTCATCCCATCGCACAAGCAAGTGGCTATCAGGACTCAGTGGCCGAGTGGATAACGCGATGGCGTTTGCAGCGAGGGTACTGGGTTCGAGTCCCAGAGTGAACATCAACTCTGAGATACAGGTACATCCAGCTGACGAGACCCAAATAGAAGGAAACGCGCGTCCTGGAAATAAGGCTATATTGATTTATTCTTTTACATGTTAAAGTTAAGATCTCTTCCAATATTTTACATAACGACCATTCTATCTTCCATTCACAATGTGTTAACTAACTTGTTTATTTATTTATTCAAACACATACATATTGGTACAAAAGGGCACTAGATACATATGCGCCACACTTTGTGTGAGGGCTGAGATACTGCCCGGGTGCCCAAACCGAAGCAGGTGGTTTTCTTAGGGGACCACACCCCGAGCCTTTGCCTAAAGGTCTAACCCACAAGGCAATGGAGCATCGTGAAGAGATGCAATCCCATGGTCGCCGGTGACCAATAAGTGCATACGCCATTTGTTCCTTCAGGATACTGGAGCCCATGTGCACCATTGGTTTGGAATGAGGGTTTTCCAACTTCCCTAGGTGGACACTCCACATCCACCAATCCGGTTAAAGCGCCAGACATTCGGTTTTCGTCCTCTCACTTTCGTGAACAACACCCCCGCCACGAGAAGGCAGTGAGTAGGACTTCCGTGGCAGGGGCTATATACGCGCGGCCATATGAGAGCATTTGGAGAGGGAGAGCTGACTCTCCACACTCTCAGCCGTACCAGCGCATTTGGGGGCGATAACTAACTTAGAAGTAATTTATCTTTTTTTATCCCTCCTCGATAGTACCTCTATGTCTACAGTTAATTGTTTGAAATTGGAATTGTGAGTGTTGTGTTCTGTTGTCTGATTTAATACTGACATATAAATCCTACGCTGTATTAAACTCAGTATACAAATAAGAAAACTGAAATGAATAAGAAGGTTTAGTTACTTAATCTAATTGTAATATTTTTGTACTTTGATACAAACTGGGTCATGTAGGTTGGGACCTTGAATAGGCACATAATCTACTTTATTCAATAGTTTGTCTCGTTTGTAATTTCTCACTAGCTGTTTGACTATGTGAAAATGTGTTATGTTTATACTTCTTCAATCTATTAATTCCTCTTGAAAAATTGTGCACTTTCCCTTCAATTAAGGTGGCAGGACTATAATGTACCATTAAACTTGACCCCAGCGGCTTCAGAGTATGTAGTACTATTCGTATATGGTCACGAGTATGCACCACTTAGAAATGTTCAGTTATGACGATGCAACTAGTCATCGCTTCATGATTTTCAATAACTTGCCTATTCGTAACGAAAACTAAGTTCACATCCATTGGTTTTGTTACGGAAATATTGTCTAAAATATATACACGCAAACTGTTTTATTAAAAATGAATTAATCATTATAAAACATATATATTGGAAAGACTACAAGTGGAAAACATTTTGTGTAAATTCAATTAGCCACCCGTTTAGTGTTGTTTTATTTTTTTTTTCTGGGTAGCTTATAATTGTGAAGCTTTCATTATCATTCTAGACAGTATCTTCAGTGCCCACTCTATGTAGAGATAAGAGTTTTAGTTTTCCAAGAATAAAATTTGTAATGATAACCAATCACAAACAAGCCTAACAAAAGCAAACCGATATAACATTTGTGGAGTATTATTGAGATCACAAATCGATGTAGGTTGGACAAGCATTGCGAAATTGGAAGCACTGGACAACCATTTCGTCACAGTATGGGAGTTTTCATAAGTGTGTATCTAACTGAGGACCGTTATATCTTGCGATGAACGCTAAACCACTGATCATTAGTTTGAGATCCAATGGCATACAGGTTCAACTTCAATCGATTGGCGATACCGCATTGCTACTTACCATTATTGTCAGTTGGTACCTGTCTCATACCCTCCAACACATTTGAACCCCATTGATCACGGCTTTTCATTGGAACTAAGGAAATTTCCTCCTGAATCTAGTTACTAGTGAACATATGATAACTATCAATATGTGTTTGTAGAGATTGTTAAATTTTATCAAGATCACAAACTGATCTATGTAAGACAACTAATAAGAAATAAGAAATTTATTTCAACATTAATTAAACACTGAAAATTCTGTCTAGAATAACAATAAAATCTCCACAACGATAAGTCATCAAGTCCATGAAACAATATAACACCATCGAAGGCATTTGTTTATATGAGCTGTTTACCGTTTCCATCATTTCAGTTTACTATCCTGAATTGTAATTGTAACTCATCTATATTTTTATTTGTAAATCTACTATTAAGAATGTTACAATCTTATTTTAATAGAAGTTTTCTTTTTTTTTTCTCCCTCTCTCTTTTTGTTTGTACCTTTTAGCCATTTTGAACGAATCATTTAAACAACAACAAAAAAAAGAAGATTCAATTGAAAATACCCCGCCAAAAACTAATCTCTCAGTACAATAATCAATTATTCACATATAAAATAAAACTGTTTACTTTCATCAACAAAACTTATCCTTCTAAATATTTGTTTTCATCGATTTGTATTTCTTATTTATTTCTGATTATTCTTGAAAAAGAAAATTGATTACTCGTTAACAATATTACAAGTTAATACAAAATGCTTAATGGTGACATATTGCATATGGAAGATAATGGTGAGTCTTTCCTACATCAATGTCTTACCTCGTTTGAGCATTATTTTCTTAAATTAATTGGTTAATTTATATGATGATGGTGTTATTGTTGGTATTTGTTTTGTCAAGGAACTTCTTTGAAATGCTAGCATCTTCAACTTTACACTAAACACTTTTCAATAGTGTTGTATAACAATGAGATTGTATTTCCGGATCAATCAAGGTACTATATTGACGCTTATGACTAGGAATTCGATCGTATTTTATTATTTTTAGATGGATATTCTATTAATGTACTCAAGTTTTCGATTGTTTAAGACAACTATCCTGTTGTGTAATCAGTAAGCATGTTATCCATTTTACGGAAGTAGAAATATTTTAGGTGATATGTGTGTATTTATGTTTTTGTTACTGAAATCTTCATCATAAACTGGTTTTAATTGTCGAAACAATAAATAATAATAAAGATGGATAGTGGCTAGCAGTGGAATTCACGACGCTCGTTTCGTTCTATTTGGGACTCGTCGGCTGGATATACCTGCATCTCAGAGTTGATGCTCACTCTGCGATTGGAACCCAGTACCTTTAGCTTGAAACGCCATCGCGTTATCCACTTAGCTAATGAATCCATCATTAGATATAATGCTTGTGAATTAAGGCTATATCGAGGCAGTACGCACAGTATGCACATATGCCAATTAGAGACTGACCAGTTGCAGTCCTAACACATCGATGGGAAGATTCAAACAAACAATACTAAGTGAATAAAGAATAATAGTTTGAAAAAATTACTAGACAGTTGATTAAGTCTAATTGAAAATTATCAAAAACCTGAAAGCACTGGACGGCCGTTTCGTCCTATTATGGGACTTCTCAGCAGTGCACATCCACGACCCCGCACACGCGAAATTCGAACCCAGGACTTACCAGTCTCGCGCCATAGCACTTAACCGATTGGTGAACGGTTGCTCAAACTTTGTGGATTTGTTGAAGTTAGACATTAACACCGTTGGATGCCGGCCAGCTCAGTGGTCTATCGGTTAAGTGCTCTGACGCGAGACTGGTATGTTCTGGTTTCGAATTTCGCGGTTGCGTGATGGTGGATGCGCGCTACTGAGGAGTCCCATAATAGGACGAAACGGCCATCCAGTGCTTCCAGGTTTTCCATTGTGGTCTTGCTTCAATTGAATCATGATTTCAACTGTGAAAATACTAAAATCTCCACAAAACCCCCTCTAATCTATAATTGAAAATTATCGGATTAATGTGCACTAACGACCTTACATAACCTAGAATATTTCAATCAATCAATCATAATCATTGGAAAACTGTATGTGGTTTTTGCATTAGCTAAAGTTACCATACGACATTAGCACAACTAGATGAATAACGAAGTAGCCTAAATCATTTCGTAGTAATAATGCTAATAATGAGAAATGACCGGGGTAATGTGATTCAAGACCTAGATAGAGATAATGAGTTGAAAAATCTTCTTTATTGTTACTGATTCTAATCCATTTCACTCATTGTTTCCTACAATTAATTACAATTATTGTGTAAACCACAAACCATTCATTAGACTGAACATAATTTCATTTAACCAGAGAAAATTCAGTATGGAGATTGTAGTGTTTTAACAGCTAAATTCACGAGTCAATCTAAGCTAGACCATTACTGAAAACCTGGGAGCTTTGGACGGCCGTTTCTTCCTAGAATGGGACTCAGCAGTGCGCACCAACGATCCCGTACGCGGGACTAAAACCCAAGATCTTCGGTCTCACGTGCAAACGCTTAATTTCTAGACCACTGAACCGGGATCCAATGGTGTTTATGTCCAACTTCAACCAATCCACGATATTGCGCGACCATATTTCACTGTCTTCGGTGAATAACTGCCTAATACCCAACACGATTGAACTCCACTGGTCACGGCTTCTCATCAGAATTTCAAGTATTACTTTTCGAAGCTAGTAAATGAGTAAATAGTAATTTTTAGTATAAGTTATGGTGATTGCTATGTCTGATTGAGATCATAGATCGATCAATGCTAGACCACCACTGAAATCCTGGAAGAAACAGGCCTCCAGTGTTTTTCATGAAATTCATTAATACCATTGGATCCCGGTTTAGTGATCTAGAGGTTGATCGTTTACGCGCGCGACTGAAGGTCACTGAAGGTCGATTGCAGAGTACTGGATCGTGGATGCGTACTGCTAAGGTGTCCCATACCGGGGTGGAACGGTTATTGGTTGTTTACGGGTTTTCAATAGTAGTATAACATTAATCGGTTCATTATTTCAGTCTAATTCAATTATCTACATTGGCTTGTAGTGCTTGATTCATATCATATTGTTTAAATTAGATATTAGGTTATGATTCAATAAATAGTCCCAAGAATGTTTTTAATCATTGTTGAATGGAAATTGAACAAAGTACCAAATCTAAATATAATAAAAAGGCTTAAAGAATATGAATTTTTAAATATTGCTAAGTAATACAGAACACTATGAAAATGACCCAGATTTTCTTATGACCAAATTGTGGACTGACGTGATAGCAGTATGTTACTCTGTATTAATCAGAGGTACCAATTCAAGGCCGATTGATATGCAGGCAATGTTAACAAATGGATGCTATTGGTCGGACTTTGGTTTAATTACCCAAGAGAGACCGATATAACCTATCCATTGGAAATGTGGCCTAATTTTCTGAGGGATACAAATCTACATTCATGAATGAGTTTATGCATATTTCTAAATTCAGGTTCTACAATACAGTTTCTTACTCACCCTAGGTTTTGTCAATCAAGTAGCAAAGTTGAACCCACTTATAAGAATGTATTATTTGTCAGTATCAGACTAAGAAGGGCATCCAACACAACACAATATAATTCAATTTAGTACCGTGTGTGCATTGCAAGGTTCGATTTATAAGATTATTCAATATAATATTCTATGAGAGACCAGATAAGTGAAATTCATGTATGCGTGCATATACACTCACATGTACCCTCTTAAACAAACATATCAACACACCTACTATTGGAATGAATTTTCAATGTTAACATCTGCATTATTGATGGGAATATAATTACTATTAACCACATTAGTATACGGTTGTTTGTTTAGATTATTAAATTCTTCTCAATTTACATTGTGGACTGATCTTGGTATGACACTATTAGACAACCAGAAACTTCAATTCTTTCAATGAGTGTTTAGATCACTGACTTTGGATCGAATGACTAACATTTTCAAGTTCAATTAATCTCTAATATTATCTAAATATTATCCACTCCTATTGATAAGTAACTGCCTCACACTGTAAATATGGTTGATCTCCACTAGTTATAACTTCTCACTAGAACTCCTTGATTTATCTCTTTCAAAATTAGTCACTAGTGAGGATATTAATTTTATTTTTATTAGAATAGGGGGTTTGTGGGATGGGAATCTCATGGACCCAGGATAATCAAAGCATCATTCAGAACAAAGAAGCAAGGGATCACAATGAACGTTATCCAATGTTATGCACCCACCAATGATAGCAACGACGATGATAAAGATCAGTTCTATGAAAGGCAGCAATCAATTATAGAGAAGTGCTCACGAAAGGACCTCACCATCCTGATGGGAGATCTAAATGCTAAAGTTGGAGTGAACAACACAGGATATGAAGATGTAATTGGACGACACGGATTAAGAGAGAGAAATGAAAATAGGAAGAGACTTGCAAACCTATGTGCATTCAACAGATTGGTTATAGGTGGCACAATATTCCCACACAAGCGCATACACAAAGCTACATGGATCTCACCGGACCAAACCACAGAGAACCAGATAGATCACATCTGTATCAACAAAAAATTCCGAAGATCAATGGAAGATGTGAGAACCCGGAGAGAAGCTGACATAGCTTCAGATCACCACCTGGTCGTGGCCAAGATGAGACTGAAGCTAAAGAAACACTGGAAAACTGGACAAACAGCACTACAAAGCAAACCAGAGAGACCAGTCAAGGATAAAGAAGGAAAGACAATCACTGAGATTCAAGAACAGAGGAAAAGATGGGCAGAATACTTCGAGGAACTGCTGAATAGACCAGCCCCATTGAACCCACCGAACATCGAAGCAGCCCACACTGACCTTCCAATAGATGTCACTCCACCAACGATCGAAGAAGTCAAGATGGTCATCAGACAAATCAAAAGTGGGAAGGCGGCAGGACCTGACAATATACCAGCAGAAGCACTGAAGTCAGACATTGAAATAACTGCAAATATGCTTCCCCTTCTATTCAAGAAGATTTGGGAAGAGGAACAAGTGTCAACGGACTGCAAAGACGGATACCTCATCAAGATACCAAAGAAATGAGATCTGAGCAAATGTGAGAATTACAGGGGCATCAGTTTGTTATCAGTACCAGGAAAAGTTTTCAACAGAGTGGTGCTGAATCGGATGAAAGACGCAGTAGACGCCGAACTTAGGGATCATCAGGCTGGATTCCGTAAGGATCGGTCGTGCACAGACCAGATTGCGACACTACGGATCGTCGTTGAACAATCAGTTGAGTGGAACTCATCACTATACGTCAACTTCATTGACTATGAGAAGGCGTTTGACAGCGTGGACAGGAGAACATTATGGAAAGTTCTTCGACACTATGGTGTTCCTGAAAAGATTGTCAACATTATTCAAATTTCATACGATAGACTACAGTGTAAAGTGGTGCATGGAGGACAGCTAACAGATGCATTTCCAGTAAGGACCGGAGTCAGACAAGGCTGTCAACTCTCCCCATTCCTCTTCCTTCTAGTGATTGACTGGATTATGAAGAATTCGACATCTGACGGGAAATACGGAATACAGTTGACTTCTCAGAATCAATTAGATGATTTGGACTTCGCAGATGACCTAGCCCTCCTCTCTCATACACACGAACAAATGCAGATGAAAACAGCAAATGTAGCAGCAGCCTCCGCATCGATAGGCCTCGACATTCACAAAGGGAAAAGCAAGATT